CCTGGATCGGGTCCACAAACCACTCTCTGCACCGCCGCCTCGTCTGCTCTCCTCCCCCAAGCTGCTCAAAAAATCCAAGTGGGGAACAGACTAGGGAGAAGGGAGAAGGGAGATGGCGGAGGCGGAGGCGGTGGCGGTGGCGTACGAGGAGCAGCGGCAGAGGCAGATAGAGGCGAACAAGCGGAAGCTGGAGGAGCTGCAGGTCCACCGCCTCTCCGCCGCCGTCAGAGAGGCCGCCGCCGCTGCCAAACCCTCGTCGGTCTGTCCCGGTTTCTTGACTGATAGCTGTTTCTTGTGTCGCTCTATGCCTTCTTTTCTGTCATTCTCTGGGTATACTTTATCCAAATCGGCTTTTTCTGCAGGCCAAGAAGGGAAAGGCGCGGGTGCCGCGGGACGGTGCCGCCGCCGGCGCGGAGCCGCTACGGCGGTCCGGCCGACTCGCCGACCTCCCTGAGAAGCCCGTGTACCACCATGTCAGTGTGAACTTTTGTCGCTCGAGGCCTTCTTTTCTCTGGGTTTTCTTTATCCAATCGGCATTTCTGCAGGTCAGGGTCAGGAAGCCCAAGTATAATGCGCGGTTGCCGCTGGACGCTGCCGAGAGGAGCTACGCCATCTCTAAGGCTGAGGAGCTGGTGCAAGATCTGGGCTCCAGCTTCCCCATCTTCATCCAGCCCATGATACAGTCCCATGTCACCAGAGGCTTCTGGCTGGTAAACTAGAGGAAGCTTCAGTTCGGCACGTCCTGCTGTTTTCGATTATTAATTCATTCATCCCCCATCGACGTAAATTCTTGTTTGGTTGGCGTGTGAAATCGCAGGGCCTCCCGACGTATTTCAGCCGGAAGCACCTGCCGAAGAGTGATGAGACGATCACCCTGGTGGATGAGGAGGATGACGAGTCAGACACGCTCTACCTCGCAAAGAAGGCTGGCCTCAGCGCTGGATGGGAAGGGTTTGCCATCGAGCACAAGCTGCATGATGGAGATTGCCTGGTCTTCCAACTGATTGAGCAGACAAAGTTCAAGGTGATTGAGATCTATTTTGCATAGCAAGAACATGTCTGAATTGTCAGTGGAACTTGCATGGTGTCTGAGTGTTGCAGGGAACTGAATAACAATAACCCAAATTTACAGAATCAAAGATTCTTTAGAAAGAAATAAAAATCTGTCGTGTTTCAAACTTGACCTTTGTACAAATTTACTTCAATTGTTTCCAGTTATCAGATTCAGATGTTATCATGGCCTCTTATCTATCATGTTGTTCCAGTACCATCTGTTTTTCTTGAGGACTAACTAGGAGAAATCTATGATTGTAATAATGCTGACCAAGCAATTTCTCTTGTGCAAGTGGTGCAGGTCTACATAATTCGAGCAACTTCGTGCTTTGAGAGTGAGCACTGATGAAACTAGTAGCTTCTAATATGGTGATTGGAGCACAGGTAAAATTTGACCTTCGTTGTTTGAAATGGTTGAATCAGAGTTTCATACTTCTGTTTTTTTTTTTGGGTAAATTCTCCCATTTCCACATTGTATTTGAACTTTCAGCTTTTGATCAACAAACTTCAATGTTTATAATCTCACTTCCATTAATTTTGAAAATACAAGGACCTATGCTGCTTTAGTGAGGTTATCTTGATCTCACATTGCAAAGCCAATATATTTTGGGTGGATGGCTTCCTTTTGTCCAAGCTATTTGATAAATGTCTAATAGGCATGCAATCAATGCATGAACTGAGCAAGTACTAGATGGTCTGGTGATTCTTTTCAACTGATGTAGGTTTTTTTTATTGTACCATCGCCTTTTCCTTTCCAGATACATTTCATTGGTACTTGAACTCTGTGCTCCACCTTTCTCTTGTAGGTTTGTAGTAGTAGTTTACACAATTTCATTTCTGTACTTTTTTTGGGTAAAATATTACTTTTTCTGTAAGTTTAGCAAGATAATTGTTTGTTTAGTATTTGTCAGAAGGCATATTGCCTTAGCTGTTGTTGGAAGCGCAGATAGCTTGGCACATTGTCTTCTTATTCTAAATTTGGCATGTCCACAGTTTGAACCAAAGAGATGTTTGTTTCTAAAACTTACTGTACTTCCATTGCAAGTGACTCTCCTTGTTTGACTTCTTACTGTTTTGTAGAAATTAGTGAACGTTACACAATTTTCAGGATGATGAATCCCTATCCTGATGTTAGCATGTTTCCTTGTTCCTTGACTCAGTTATGGAGGCGGGAGCGTTGGACAAGCTCGCATCTGGAAATTGCTGGGTGTCTTGAACCTTTTGGGTGGCAGAAAGTTAGCTGATGTATAAGGCCCTGCTTGGTTTCCATAAGTCAGGTGACTTATTAAGTCAGGTGACTGAAAACCAGTGACTTATAAGGCATGCTTGTTTGGTTGTAAATGACTTATAAGCTCATTAAAGGTGTGGGCCCCATGCGAAAAAGGGTGACTTATAAGTTTTAAGCAGGGGTGAACCAACTTAAAACTTATAAGCAGGGGTGACTTATAAGTTGGTGGTGTTTGGCAAAATAAGTCACTTTTTTCACTTTTTAACTTATAAGTAGGTGACTTATTTGGAACCAAACAGACCCTAAATGTTTACCTAACCTAGTATCTACCAGCTGCTAATTTGTGTACTTGTTGGGCTTACCAATTGCACGGTTGAACCTGCACTATGTAAGGGGATGTTGATGGCTTTATGGTGCTAATATACAGACACTATGTATCTACCAGCTTGCTATTTCTCGTTGTCAGGAACTTGGTCTGTGGGTGGAGGATTGCAGAGATCGTAGGGGAAATATGTGAGGGTGAGAGACTCTGGCTGCCGCCAATGCAGGGCCGTGCCGGCAAAATCTGAGGCCTTGTTCCAAACCCTAAAATAGGCCCTACCGGCTTAGAAAAATAGAACGATAATAACATGTACATCATTGCGATAAATCAAGAATTGTACATATTCAACCCTTGTTGCATAATCTTTTTTTGAACAGTATCATTGTCTTAGTGTTATTTGAAATAAAATCATTAATGATATCAACAATTCTAGTTCATTGCGATAAACCAACAATTCTTTCGCAGGAATCATATCTGAATTTTACAGAAATCAGTTTAATTTACAGGGAAATTATAGTAATGAAAAAGAAATTCTGCATTCCAAAAAACAGAGAGAAGACTTGACTTTGGACGTTATTGATCGTCTAGTCAGAAGTGTCAAGCAGGACGCTGTCAGCCTGTCACGTCTCATATGTACTGGCATAGTGGCATGGACAAGCAGGCGACGGCGACAACGTGAAGTGCAGTCCTTTTTGTCTTCTGGAGGTCCTAATATACTCCGATGGAGTGTGTACTCCGAGCGGCAACCGCGAACTAGCGCAAACCTTACCGTAGGAATGTTGGATGAACGATTTAATTAACGTCATCTCCTCGTCTCTTTCTGCCCGTCTCATCGATCGATGCAAGGCGCGATGCCGCGACACCTAACAAATCGAACTAGTGTTAGAGCTGGTCGATCTTCCCTGAATCTAATAAAATCTGTCCAAGTATATAACACGGGAGAGGGTTTCTTCTTCGACGAAGGCTAAGACAGACGACAGGCACGTTGAGGGCGGCAGCGCAGTTTCTCTCTTCTGGACTCTTGCTCGGGCAGTCCGGTCTCTCGAGCTTGGTTGCTGACGCCGCGGCGAGCAACGATTTTCACTGCCTGCGGCTGGATCCGCTCGTTGCTCCTTCCAAACACCTTCCTAGGACGACAGTGCAGGAAGAGCCACGATTTTCAGTTTATAGTAGTACCGATCTTTTGAAAAAGTTTACGTACTTCCTAGCACATCAATGCGAATTAATCCTTCTGGCTTGGGTGGTGTTTAACTAAATGCATCTTGAATTCTTCATTGATGTGATGTGTGCTATGAATTAATCCTTCTGGCTTGAGAGCGGCGGCTAGCTAGATTCGTTTTCTTCCGGCAATGATCTTCCTCCTAGTTTGTTTAGAGGTTCAGGGGTGTGGAGTCGCCAGCGCCCAGCAACGATGAGTCTTCCTCGCCCATTTCTAACTCTGGTCTGGACCCCTACTTTTCGTTAATGTCTCGTTTGTTTATGGATTGACATTGAGCGAAACAGCTGTAAAAGGGCATATGTATGCTATACATATCTATAGTCTTGGCTCCTTCCAAACACATTCCTACGACGAGAAGTCAACAACACGATAAGAACCATCATTTCAATTTATGTAATGTATTCGTAGCTATAGGAATGTACAACCTGCTCGGAAGTGCTTGCTGTAGCAGCTACGGATGAAGAAGACCAGCAACAACGGCTTCAACTGCTGCTGGAGTAGCACAAGCGTATCTTCAGAAAACACTAGTTTTGTCGGTCAAGTACTAACAATCTGAAAGCCCGTCCGTCAGTGCCTACTGCCTAAGCAGGAAAAGAACTTTCTGCCTCATGGGACGGAGAAAGTCCACATGAGCATTTGTCAGCGCAGGGTTCAACACTCCACAAGATACAAATATTAGTTTAGGAGTGCCTAAATATTTGCTCAGAAATTACTCGCTGGTTTCTTTAGGATCAGAAGAAGACACACACACACACACACACACACACACACACACACACACACACACACACACACAAAGCGTCTTTCGGAACATGAACTTCATTTCTTCGGCCAATCGGGTTGTGTTGTGATGTCAAGTTTGGACAGTTCCAAGGACTCCGAAAACTCAAATACTACTGCATACAGAACTCAAATCCTATATCAATGATGTACAAAGATCTCATTTCGACAAAGAAAAAAAAACTGTACAGAGGGGGTGAAATACTGAACAAAGGATGCACAAAAGTAGTAGTTGTGGCAAAGAAGAGCTACAGCTACTATACTACTATCTTGGCTCTCTTTATTTATGATATGATACAATCGCCATCTGCTAGAGCTTTTCTTCCTCTCCCCGCCGCCGTGGTCAGAGCTGAGGAAAAACAAAGTCACAGAGAGACGTTTAGTAGGAGCAGGAGCACCTAGTCTCTGATAAAACGGCTGACCTTTAGATATTCAAGATAAGTAAGAGCAAAGCCATGGATATTCCAAACCTTTGATTCAACAACGACGCGTGCAGGAGCCATGGCGTTGACCTCCACGCTGTCAGGGTCTTCCTCCTCTGCCACCGCCGCCACTGCCGACGACCGCGGTGGCGGGGCAGCCCTTCCTCTGACCATGGGCGGGCAGACTGCCCAAACTCCTACCAAGAACAACAGGAAGAGGAGGAAATCTCTGACCGTGTCCGGCCACGCCGCCACCGCCTCCGCGGCGGCCTCGTTCCGCGCGGCGACGTAGCCGGTCACGTAGAGCGTGTAGAGCACGATGCCGGCGAAGCCGAGCCACCGCAGCGAAAATCCCGCGGGCACACGCGCCGACGCGCCGAGTGCCGCCGTCCCCCGGGCAGCCTCCGTGGCCCGGCGCCGGCGCGCGAGGTCGGCCACGGCGCCGTGCGCCGGGGAGAGCAGCACCGCGGCGCAGCCGAGCAGCAGGATGGCGTGCAGGGGCAGCACGACATGCGCGCGCGCTTCGACCGCGGGGAAGCCCATGGCCATGAGCACGGACGCCGCGGCGAGCGCCACGACCGCACCCGCCCGGCGTATGGCCGCCTCGCTCTGGGACATTGCGATGCAGTAGCAGAGGCGGAGCAGGAGGGGCAGCGTGGAGGCAGAGCAAGTCGAGTGAGCGGCGACCAAAGAGCCGACGAACTCCCCTTGTCCTTCCCCTTCGGCCCTCGTACGTCGAGGAGGAGGCCAGGACCACGTACTATTTGAAGACTTTGAGGTGACAAATAGTCCATGAGACCATCTCCAACAACCACCGTCTAAAATACAACACCCATTTCATATTTAATAGCGCTACATGAAAAGAATTTAGTACCCATAAAAGATCTTCTTCAACAACAAGGGTCAAAAAAGAACACTTTATAAAAATAGGTATCAGGAGAAAGGATACTTATATTTAGGTTATCTCTCCTTACACTTAAAATATATCTTCATATAGATACTTTATTAGAGGTTATAAATATTTGATTGGAGATCTATTTTAAGTTTTGGTCTCGCAATGCATCTCCTGTTGGAGATAGCCTCAGCTCCTCGTCTTGTCGGATATGAACTGATGGACAACAGGATGCGGACAACACAGACTACTAGGCGCCCCGTGCGTGTCTCTGGACATCAGCGCGTCGCCTTTCCTTGGTCGACGCCTGAACTCGCGCAAACGGCAAACGCCTACTATGTGGTGCACCTGCAGGCCCGATGCAGGACAAGTGGACAACCCAAACTCGTACCTCGTTTGTTACCGATATTGATAGTGAGAAAACCATCTACAGAGGGCGGACATTTCCACTGCTTCGCTCCTTCCAAACACCTTCCTGCGGGTGCGACGACAAAGGAGGAACAACAAAATTTAAAATTTTAAGTGCAGCTTATATGAAAAGTAAATTTTCTTTGTCCGTGATCTATCTAGTAGATATCATCAGTTGCATATGTACGTCTCTCTAGTCTAGAAAATTGGAGATGGAATGAGGAAGCTAGAAAATAAAGGGAGAGGAGAGGAGAGGAGAGGAGAAGAGAAGAGAGGATGATGCTGATGACGGAGGTCAGTAATTTGTATGATTAGATGATAAGTCTTCTCAAGCCTGCTGTTTAGGTATTGATGGTTGCGTGTACCCGTTTTCGTCTCAGCTGGTTTTAATTTAGTTCAATTCAGATATATATAATAAATAAAGTTTGTGCACAGTGCTCTTGTCTGTGTTAGGTGTATGCATGTGTACCTATCTCTGTCTCGCTATTAAGCTAGCAGGCATCTCAATTAGTAATTGGTGTACTGGCACTGAAGTAGTAGATTTGTTTATATATAGATATGCGTGCAGCATGGAATGGTCTTTCTTCCTTCCTTGTAAACAAAGCTTTTGTAATGTATATACACTAGGGTGTTGTTTAGATGTCATCCAAATTTCAAGTTTTTTCACTCTCTCTCCATCACATTAATTTTTAGCCGTTTGTATGGAGTATTAAATATAGGTAAAAAAATAACTAATTACACAGTTTAGTTGGAAATCACGAGATAAATCTTTTGAGCCTAGTTGGTCCACGATTAGACAATATTTGTAAATAAGACGAAAGTGGTATTATTCATCGGGTTAAATTTTTTTGCAAAGAGAACGAGGCCTAGCTACAAGTTGGTCCTGATCATTAAATTATTCAATTTGAGTTGATTAGATGCTGCATGCGCTGCTTACCAATCTTGTTCGTCTGGCTAGTCCTCTGTATATATTCACTGGTATTTTATCATCTTGACGCCAGTAATACGGCGTCGAGCTGGATTCAGGATCTACGGCGTCTGGCGCCAGGATCTCTACGTCAAGCAGGCGCCAAGATCTATGGTGCCGAGCTGTCTGTCAAGTCATCGTTATGTCTACGTCGAGTTCAAGATCTCGACGTCAGCAACGATGACGCCGAGCTAAGGGTCCAGATTTTAAAATCTTATCTTCAGATGTATATTTGTGAATTTTTTTTAAAAAAAGGCTAAAAAAATTCCTTGATACGACGCGTACTAACTTTTATCTGATTCAAACATGCATGCTTGTGCGGGCATCTTTTTAATAACCTCTAGGTCAGGTTGTAACGATTCAGCTTTGAAAGCCCTACAGCAACCAGCAACCGCTTTTCACAATTTCTAAAGGTTGATCCAACCTGAGCACGGGTGCTGCGCACATGGCTCATCAAACTGTGAAATTAATATTAAATATAATATACAAATAATGTGAAATTGATATGAATATATAAAATATTTTCCAATTGCTATCGTCGGTTTGACTAATAACCTTATAAAAAGAATAGTACTAATATTTAATCATACCAAATAATTTTATAAGATACACTATGAACTTTTTTTATGATTTATCTCTCTATTAGTATGTTATTACACGTTAATACTTTTATCTACAAATTTAATATGATTTGATTTAACTTAAAACAACTGAAAGCGCTTTATATATACTTGTTTGCGCGCGCGCGCGAGAGAGAGAGAGAGCAGCCACACCACGTAAAAAGAGTTTAATGACACACTGGTCTACAGCTCACAATAGCTGGGTGGAAAAGGGGTGGAAAAGCGCAAACATGGAAGATCCTTTTCCCTGCCGATGGAAGTCGGTGCAAATAATAAATCAAGGCTTCCAACCCCAACCGCATATCAGATTCCCTGTGTCTGTGTGAGTTTTTTCCAGGGAGTTGAATATCCCCATGCCACTTGGACGGCTCACCCGCGCGAGAATGAGAATTTGTCGGAGGTTAAGACTTAAGAGTAGGACAGACACGGCGTCATGCAAAATGACCGCCGGCCTGCGGCAAATGCAGAGTCTCTCTGGCTCGGGCAGTTGTCTCGGCGAGCGGCAAACTGCACTGCCTCACTGTACTCGTGTCTGGTCGGTGAAGAATGAAGATCTCCGGTTCCAGTTGGTAGGGTCTTTTTATATCCGTATGTGTAAAGCACCAACATGCCGCTGGGTGACGAACTCGTACTCGTACAGCAGTTCCCGAACGCCGAACACGACGAGCAACGTGCTCTGCTCGCACCTACATTTACTTGCTATTTGGCCATTCGGCACTCCGTGAGACACTACGCTACGAGCTGAAAAGAGCATTCACGACGACGACTGCTAAAGTTCATTTCCCACTGGCCAGCAATTTCATCGATCAATGGCCTGTTCGGCTGCTGGAAAACGGCTGGCTGGGCTGGTTTTCAGCTGGCTGATCAGCCCAGCCGTTCGGCGGCCCACTTCCAGCCGAACGGTTGTCCTAATAGGCAACATCTCCGGCCTTATTCTGCTCCCCTCCCTCAGTCCGGTACACTTCACGTCGCGCGGCTAGGGTTTTCGTTTGCTCGCCCCTCCTCTTTCCTCCACGCGGGCCGCGGCGGTCATCAACTCCGCTTCGTCGTGCATGCCCCTTCAGCCGGCAAACGCCTCCATCCCGTCCCGCCTCTATCCGTCGTGAGGGCCCCCTCACCGTCGACAGCCTTCGCGACAACAATGACCTCCGCATTCCTCGCAGAACCCGTCGCCGTCGACGCTCATCCGCCGGCAACAAGGTACCCCCGGATCCGACGCCGCCGCCCCCCCTCCCGCCACCTCCGTCTTCGCCCGCCCCCCCGCCGAGGCTCGAGGACGTCGTCCCCCCCCTCCGGATCTGCCGCCTCCGTATTCCCCGAACTCGGATCTGCCGCCTCCGTCGCCCCCCCGGCTCCAAGGACGCCGTCGTCCCCACCCTCCGGATCTGACCCCCACGTGCTCGTTTTGCAGGTCTTTCCCGAGCGCCGCCCACGGATCCAGGGGACGCTTGGAACTAATCAACTAAAATTATAGGTGATGTTATTCAGTATCCAATGAGCACCTTTTTCATCGAACAAAATACTTTCTTTCTTTAGTAGTATCTAATTTTGTATCAATGTTATGGTCACATTTGGACTGCTATTTCCATTGTATTTAATACATGTGTGCTTGTACGTTTGTTTCTGTTTACATGATTTCACGTATTCACCAGATCACGAATAGTTAATTTGGAACATAATACATTGCAGTATTCTGTTCGACCTGAGCGACAAGTTTCTCACTGGCGTTCAGTTTTCTGCCACCTCTCTCCCCTCCACGTATGCAAATAGCTAGCTAAGAATTGCTTGTTGAAGATGCTCTTATGCAAGTTATTGGAACATGATGTAACTCTATAAAAAATTTGGCTTGCACGAAAGAACCGAAAGAGTATGATTTTGACAATCTAGTTTCTGCTTAGAGCAACATAGGGTGTACCTATGTTTACTTGGAGGAGTTAGATGGTGCGCGTATGTATGTGAGCTGAGCATGAGTTTTGATTCGGAAAAAACACATGTTTGGCTTGCACGAAAGAAACGAAAGGGTGTGATTTTGTCTATCTAGTTTAATCTAATTTCTTTTTTTAGCTTAGTTTAATCTAATTTCTACCTTAGAGCAACGCGACGGTGAGCAATTCCATCTCCCGTAAGCAACTGCCCGCGCCGACGGTGCCTTTTGTGTTCCGTCATGCTTAAAGCGTGTTCGGGCAAAGCAACTAAAAATTATACAATATTATTATTTCAAGCAGCAACTTACCTTTTTTTATAAGTCGACGAAGAGGGAGAGAGTCCCCCGCCTGATTCATTGATTGATGTTGGCTCTTAAATAGCCATATAAGTTTACAAAGGACATCATTTTGTTTCGTTGTTGGGTTTACATTGCAGCAACATACCTTATTACATCAACTGGGTGACATTAAAAGTAAGAAGTAACATCTATATGAATCAAATGGAAACTACACGTGTATTAAATCAAATGCCAAGTTGAATAATCAATTAGGGCAAGTTCAACTTTCAGCATTCATATAATCTACCATATGATAATGTGCACACTAATTTTCATTGACAATGTGGTATTGTGTTTGTTTCTTTTAGTGCATCGCTCGCAAGTGCTTCATAACGCTACCCACATTGGCAGCGTCCTCCACTTCATCGTGCTCTTCACCTCAAGCCAGGCACTACAACCATCGATCGAAACGCGCCAAGCGTTCTGCTAAGGTACGTCCGAATTTCTTTCGCCCTAACTCTCTTGTTT